TGATTATTGAAAGAAATATTCTGAGAAATGTTCTATTAATTCTTATACTCTCAGGAAAGATAGAGACAAGAATGATATCAATACTGAAACTGATTCTATTCACAGTATTATGAAACAAATATTCTGTTTAAGAGATGAGATTTATTCAATTAATAACTTGATAAAGAATACTTGAATATTAAACTCTGAATCAGATACTCATATCACATCTTATAGAGATCTTGTTATGAAGAAAAAGAAGAATGATAAGTTATCATTGATAATGATGAATGAAATCAAAGTCTCTGTTATAATAGTTAAGAATGCAAGCATATCAGTTGAAGAATCAAATATGATATTAAATAGTATTCACTATGTCCTGAATTTAAAAGTTAATCTTATCAGTCTAGGCAAGCTTGTATGACAAGGCTACATCTTTAAGTAATTAATATATAAGAAAAATCATGTCATATTACTTCTGTCTTCTGACAGAATGTTCTCTTTTACTGTGAGATTAAATGATAGAGATATCTATGAGTTGAAGAAGCTGATCATATACAGAGATCTGATTCATTTTCCTGTATCTGATGATAGTTTCACACCTGCGAACTTCATGTGAATAATAGATAATGATGTGATATTGACATTATCTGAGAGAAATGATATAAAGATTGTGAAACATACAATGATAGAATAACATCAGAAACTCAGACATCTTAATCTGATAAATATCATTAAAATGACAGCAGATTCATATCTAGAAATGAGAATTCTTGAACAATAGACTCTATTATTTTGCAAGGTCTGTCTGCAAGTCAAGATGACATGTTCAATCTTTCAATCTATAATGAGAGTTATCAAGTCAGTGATGAGATTCTTTATTGATCTGATAGAAGAAGGAAAACTACTCTTTGATAAGAAAGACATACTCTCTAGAGAGAGTGTGAGCTACTAGTTAGAAATTACTGACAATGATATATACTATTAATAAGTAATTTTAATGATATCAAAAGAGAAATTAATAGCAAAGCTGATGAATTTCATAACAGATATAGAGATAACTATACAATGAAGAATTGAGATTCTTCATTGAGATAAAGAAAAAGAATTTACAAGTCAGAATCTTAAGATCTATTATCAGATCAAAGAAATTATATATGAGATAATCACTTCTGATACATTATAATTCAACAGTTCTGTGAAACACATCAATTGTATTATTACTGAAAAGACAAGAAGTCTACTATTTAATAGTGACTCAGAAAGAGATCTTTGAGAAGAGTCAATGCAAGCTGCAATTATGATGATCAATACATTTTCAATATCAATCAAGATATTCAAATGTACTGATGAGTCTCTGCTTACACCTTTTAAGGCATGAACTGAGGTACAACTCTCAGTTCACTGAATATATAGATGAGAATGTAAGATCTACAAGAAGGATTTAAAAGTGTCTAATAAACTTGAGAACAGAATAGATAGCAGAGAATGATTACTAGTTAGTTATCAGAGACTACATTAATATTACCTATGAAATTCTGTAAGATGATGCCTGGAAATTGTGTGAGATGTCATTTTTGATGAGAATTTTGACATAAAATCAACTGAATCTGTCAATGTAATCAAAGAGTCTATTGACTTTTCAGAAGAACTTGATATTCTGAATATTAATAAAGAGTGATAATACTGCTTATTGAGATATCTAGCTAAGAAGAAGCCAGATATTTTGAAGATAATTGTCAATGAGAATCTGGAAAATGTCATTAATTCAGTCTATCTCTTGAATAATAATATGCAGCTTATCAATGATGAGTAGACTGGCCGCCGAGACTATGAATTTCACGTTTGGTCTCATTTGATCTGATCTCATACATTTCTTGGCGTGAATCCCGCTGGGACTAGCCATCAAAAAAACATGCAAAGTGACTATATATCAGATCTTAAAATGAAATCATGACTTGAAAAAAATGAGAAAGTGATTTCATTTGATCTTATTTAGTTCCATTCTTAGTATAAAGTTACTATTTTTAGACATTTTAAGATTTTTTTTAGACTATTTTTAATTTTTTAAAAAGTAACACTTTTTGATAACACTTAAATGAGATTTAAAGTCATTTAAAGCAATAAAAATAATTTAAATTGAGAAGTGGAAATCATGATCTCATTTGAAAAATGTGACAAGAGTAGACAGTAAGTCTCACTGAGATAATATGAGACTACTATCTAATGTTAAAACCATGTAATGGGATCTGTCGAATTGGTAATGAGACTATCAAAAAATCTGGTCCTGGTCTCAGACACGGTCACACGGTCAGTCTAATGATGAGAATACAGAAGATTCTGTTAATAAAGATGATTCTGTTCTTAGTACTCTTACTGACTGATCAATCACACTTACAGAAGCTAAAAGAAGCTCAGACTGAGATTATTGATATAAGATTATACAGAGAGAAGTCAAGATGTTTGAACAGTGAAAGATATACATTATTATTAAGAAAATATCAGATATGAATATTCTATCAGAGAAATAAATGTTTGATCAGAAACTGAATAGTAAAGAATACACTATTCAGTTCTAAGTCTGTTGAGTAATTAAAGAGTTTCTGCAGAAGTAAGATATTCATTATACAAAATTGTATACTGCAGTGATATCAGAACTTATATTATATAGCTTATTTACTATATCAACTGTCAATGAATGAAAAGTTAAATAAATTGATTATATATCAACATTCTTGAATAAAATTCTCTTATTAAATGAGATTGTCTATATACAACTGTCAACAGGTGTGAGACATAGTAGAGACAATTTAGTGAGACTACTTTAACAGAGCTTATATGAAATGAAACAAGTGATAAGAATATAATACTTTCTTACAACAGAACATCTTATTACATAGAGATTTAAGATATTATATTATGATGACAGTTTTCTATATCACTCTATTTAAAAGATATATTTAATACTACATGTTGATGACTGCTGAATAACAGGTTCTTAAGAGCAGCAACTGAATTGAATATTAATAAAGATAGCTAAGTAGTTTGAGACAAAGAGTGTTAATGAGAATAAGTCATATCTGAGAATGAAAGTCAATCACCTGAAAAATGAAGATATGACGGTGACACAGAGTCACTATATAGAGAAGATTCTTGAGAATTTTAAACTAAATAAGATGAATTCAGTCAGTATATTAATAACTGCTGAAATATATATTGAATTCTCATCTGATGAGAGTAGTAATCTAGATAATAATTTTACAGCTACATAGTATTAACAAGGATTAGAATTCTTATAATATCTAATGTTAAGTAGCAGATTAGATCCGACATTCATAGTTAACTATCTTTCAAGATATAACTCATAGTCATATAAGAGATGTTAATTAGCATTGAAATATATTCTATGATATATCAAGAAGATTAAGAACTATGATATCTTATATAAGAAAGAGAGTAACAACTTGAGTTCTGTTATATATTGTAATTCAAATTGAGCAGAAGTGAATTCTTAATACAGATTAACTACAGACTATATCATATTCATAAATGAATCATCAATATTATGACAATCACAGAGATAAATATCTATTATTAAATCAATTACAGAGACTGAATACATTGCAGCTAGTGAAGCAGCTTGTGAGATTATCTGACTGAGTGATATATTATATAATACTGAATTAGTGAATGAAAAAGCAAAGATCTATTCAAGACTATGAGTTGATGATAAGAGTGCAATTGATCTAGTAAAAGAAGAATCTTTAACACATTAATCACATTATATTGAGATAAGATATTATATTCTTCAAGATCTAGTTGAAAAAGAATATATTATTATAAAACACATTGATTCTACAGTTAATATAGCGGATAATCTTATCAAGTCATTGACAAGACCAGCATCTGAGGAATTTGTTGAGAAGATTAGCTTAAAGAAGATCAAGAGAGACTAGAGTAATAATAATACATTGTATTATTGAATACTTTGTATATATATTGATTTTTACAGTTATTGCTGTACAGATACTTTTTCTAATAAAGAAATCAGAGTCTGATTGATGTAATTAATTATTATTATGTTTTTGAAAGAATTGAGATAAGATGAGTGAAATGATGGCAGTGCAATTAGTAGAGTGTTATAGTAAGAAGAGATGTTAATGATTACTACATCTACTCTAATCACGTGTCACTCAACTTATATATAGATTCATCTTAGATAGATTATACATAGATAACAATGTTATTCTTTAACAGAATGTCAGGTCACATGATCTGGCTTACTAATCCTTTCATCATATAACTTCTCACAAGCTAGCAATCTTTTCAATCAAGCAAGCTTTACACCTTTCACAAAACACTCTTGAACTGAGTTTTTAAATATGATTTTCAAAAATATTTATTAATTGAATAGAAACTTTTTTAAATTATAACTTCTTTAAACGTTCAAACGGTGAGCCGAAGGCCGGATGCCGACTAGCTCGACGGCTGCTTTAGGCCGGTGATGGCCCAATAAGTTACTGCCATGCTTCATGCACAGTGGACGCCGTCCTGCGCGCTGCAAAGCTCAATTCCCACACCTCAGCTCTCAGGTACAGGAAAATGAATCCCTGCTACCCGCTCTCAGAATGGGCGCTTGCATCCTCCTTTTTCAACTCTCACTCATCCTTCACCCATCTTGAGCCCGCTGGTCAGATATGGCCCTCTCAGAGCTGACTATAAAGTCATGGCTTTCTTCTCTCCAGCGGATGATCTGTTCACCCTCAGAATTCCAGCTTTTCTTCCCATTGAAGCTTCTCCGCCCAACAACCCTCACTGCTCCTCAAGCTGTCAAGTCACACTTGCTCACTCTTATATCTCTCTCATCACAATCAATGAGCTTTCTGTTCCTTCAATCATTCATTGCTGACTTCTTCATCTCTATCACTTTCTGTTCCCTCCTCTGGTTCTGTGTGGGATGAAGAATGGCTCATTGACACTGCATATCATCGCCTGTTGACAGTGACAGCGCGGAAGACATGATGGACATGGATGATAATGATGATGACAATGATGATAGTGATAGCATGGCCTCTGCTTCCAGCAGAGAGACCAATCTGATGAACTCAGCTAATTACAGAAAAGACAGCAAGAATGACACCAGCAATCTGACTGGCCTACTGACAGGTGATAAGCATCTTTCAGAGTATTATATAAATATAATGACTGACTCAGATGAATTCTTACTTCAATACAATGAATATGTGTCTAACTCTCAAAAGCTGCTTAACTGTATTGAGCAGGAATAGTTTAAGTAAGTGTCTGAACTCTTCTCACTCTGTCATTGCTGCAATATCTTTCTAGTTTCTCATATACTATACAGATTCTGCACCTGCATCAAGCTGGATCTCAAGAAGACATATTAGTGAATAAATGTAAAGAAGTTATACCACTTTCTTCAGCTGAATGCTGAATCAATGTCATGACAAGACTGAAAGATAATATCAGAGACTCAAATATCAGAGCTCTCTAAAGATGTACTGAAAGATCTTCTATCTAATTTACAAGAGAAAAATGTAGAAGAGTAACTGAGAGATATCACTGAGAGTGATTAAAAATATATACAACTGTCTCTTTTTATATTTATCTCAGTATCTGAACTCTTATCTGATGACTGAATCATTTTAGAGTACTGATTTAAAGTTTACTTATATTTAAGATAATTTTAAAACTGATATAACTATACTATTTTAAGAAGAGATACTGAAAGAAGTTAGTTATTTATTTAAATAATCTTATTAAGATTATTAAGATAACTGTTATAATTAATAAAAAGAAGTTCAGTTATAACTGATAATAAATTCTACTTTATCTATTCTTTTAATTAACTGAGTTCTTAGTTAATTAACTGTAAATATTACTGAATCTGTATTATTAATATATTAAAATTACTCTTTTGAAAAACTCTGATAGTAAGCTTAATAACATTCTAATTAAGTTTACTGTTAAATTTATTAAAATATTTTTTAAAGAGAAAAAGAAGTAAATAAATATATTTACTTTAATCTATATTAATAAACTATAACTGATTTTCTATAAATTTAAAATTATATTTATAATTTTAAAGATTATTTTTAATCTATCTTTAATTCTCAGCTTTTATATTACTTTTTTTAAGCTTTTATTCTTTAATTATATATTAATCTCTTTTAATAATAAAAGAGTTCTTACTTTAATATAATAACTTATTAAATTAAAGATATTAGAAAATATTTATTAATTTAAGCTTTATTTTAACTTAGCTTTAAATAATATCTCAGTGTTTTGAAAGTTTAAGTAAATACTGAAAGTAATTAAAATATCTATTATTAATATACTAATATATAGTATTATTAAACTCTGAATTAGATAAATTAAAAAGATATCTGTATTTTATAATATTATTTAATTATACAGTTTATAGTATAATACTGATAAGATATTAAATAATAGTAATAAGACTTAATTAAAGAGAAGACTTTAACTTTTAATCTTTAATTACTTATTATTTTCTATTATACAAAGTATATTAGTAAAGGTATTTACAGTTTGATTTTTCAGTACTTAAACTCTTATATATTTCTTAAATACTATCTTTATAGAAAGATGAATAAAAATGTTTATATTACTATTCAGAGTCTGAACTTATAAAAATATATTATATATATAATATATTAAATACTTTACTTTATTAATATATACTAACTGTAGAAACTAATTATAACTCAGTTAAAATTAGTTAATTAACAGCTTTATATTTAGAAACTTATTTAGAAATGTAATCTGCTCAGCAGATATCTTGAATAATTTCTTAAAAAGTTATAAGAAATCTCACTTCTTATAAATTCTTTACCTCTATTTCTATCTCTTGTATAATTAATAGAGTTAGTGACTCTTGACTATATATAACTTATATAGACTGAAGTTTGTAATAACTATTTATAACTCAGCTTAAATACTATTATATATTTAATCTCTATATTTATCTTTCTACTGTGAATACTTCTAGTAATTATCAGTATATATTATATCAAGCTGTGAATCACTGAATAATCATCTATAAGTACTTATTCTTACATTTCAAGCTGTATTAGTCAGTAACTGTTTATTATAACTGAAAGAATTAGAAAGCTATACACTTTAATCTCTGTAAACTCTACTATTGATATTCAGAAGCAGTTATCTGAATTATAAAAAATCTCTATAAAAGAAGTTTCAGAGAACTTATTAATTACTTATAAAACATTATTCTCTATATTTATAACAGAGAAACTCTCTGAACTTATAAATAAATTAATCTTAGTAAAGAATATTTTCAAGTATTTTCTATAAAATTAAGCTTTTTTTTTATAAGAAATACTTACTGTCTATAAACACTCTTAAACTAAGTCTCTAAATATAATCTTCAGAGATATCTATGAACTGAAAAGAAACTTTCTTTAACTATAACTACTTAAAACTATCTTCTGAATTATAATTTATAAAAGTTTTTACAAGTTTATCTTTGAAATTAACTTATAAGTCTGACTATGTGATATAAAAGATGAAGAAGCTATTATCTATATAATAACAGATCTATATTATACTGAAGTTAAGAATTAACTGAATTATTTAAAGAATAATTATAAGAGATTCTGTTAATCAGTTCTTAAAATCTATTTAAGAAATAAATTAAAAGACTTTATAAGCTGAATAGAGAATATCTGAGCAGTAATTATTATTATTATTATTCTTCTATTATAGATGTATACAGTCAGAGACTATAATATCTATCTGAAAACTTATAGTTCTCAGAGTTTTCCTAGTATCTGTAAGGCTAATTATTATACATTTATCAATTTCAGATATACAAAATTAGAAAATTACAGCTCAGAATGTAAAAACCTCTTATAAATTACAGTATTTTTAATATCTCCTAATACTTTTAAGATTATTTAGAAAGTAACATGATATAAAAAAAGAAACAAAGTCTTAAAGACAGACACAGTAGATAGAAAAGAAAAGAAAAGAAAAGAAACTATAAGAAAAGATAATATTAAAATAAACATGTTTTAAAGAGAGTGTATAGCTGTTTTAACAGACTATATCTGATTAATTTTCATCTTTTCATATTCAGATAGTTCTGAATTCAGTTATTTTTTTATAGCTATTTAAGTTTCTGATAGAAAATCTATTAGATATTTAATTTCTATCTCAGTTAAGAATAAGAATCTTATATTTATTTAAAATATATTATACTTCTCTTTCAATCTGACTCTGAGATCAATGCATAATACACAGTGTATTACAATATACTCAGAATTCTCAGTTGAATTGCAGAATAAGCATTTTATTAAATTAAATCTGTTACTAAATCTTTGAATAATGTAAGAAGTCTACGCTGAATAGATTGATATAATATTTATAGATCTTATATAACAAAGTGAAAAATATTAGAGAAGGAAAAAAGAGAAAGTGCAGAAATCAGCAATCAGAGTGAATATTTATACATGTACATGATAAAGCTTCAGAGTGAAAGAATAGAGATTCTGTATATACAGTAAAGCTTCAGAATGAAAGAATAGAAATTTCATGAATTTTTCAGCTAAGAATTAACAACTGAGAATCAGAGCTTTCAGTGAAATCTATAAAGTGTAATGAAATAGTCTATATAATTGATCAGGCGCAGTTCATCATATTAGTTCTCTCTTTTCAGAGATGAGATTGTGTATAGTTCTCATTGATCAAGAGTTACAATTTCAGATAATATGAAGCTCAGAGTTCAGATCAGATAATTATAGTTAACTTATTTTACAAGATATTATCAGCTACAGCTGTGAGATCTCTTATTAAGAATATCTTCAATATCTTGCTTAAGTTCATTATCTTCTTCCATGATCTCTGATGACTGTCAGTCAGAAGTCAGTTAAGAAGAAAATGAATCAATGACAGTGCAGTGAAGTAAGCTTACATAAAAGACATTATGAATTTCTGATAATATGTTAAAATAGTAGTTATAACTGTCTAGAGATTCTATCACTTTACACTTAATATAGTAGTAATTTAATATATGAGATAAGTGTGTGATTTATATATTCTTAAGATTCAATCACATCAGATCTTTTATTATATATTACTTAGTAAGATCTCAGTAAATATTAATCTGATTCTCTTAATCTTATTTAATACTTATCATGAAGACTTCTGCTTAGTCACAGATATCTTAAAGCTTTATTACTATATTATCAGTGATCTGAATCAGACTGTGAGAATTTAGTGTGAAATGTGTAATCTCTAAAAGATTCAACATCTTCATGTCATAACTGTGTATAAGAAAGAACAGGCTTATATCTATTAAAACAGTATCTTAATCATTGATAGTAATCTCTGTATATAGAAGAAGATCATATCAATTATTCTATGAATAATTACAGAACTTATAAAGATAGTTTTTTACAGTCTGAATTATTCATTCTGATGTATTATTAGTCTCAGAGTGATAGAAAGTTAATAAATAACATGTAATCTTGAGAACTTGACAGATTCTTGTTCAGAGAGTGCTTATAAATTGATAGTCTTAATTAAATACTATAGATCTCAGTAAGTTATACATCTGATAGAATAAACTCTATAGAAAGACTTCAGAGACTTACTCAGTATTCATCTTATTATAAGACTTTAATATTACATCTTTACTCAATCAGTCAATGAGAATCAGAATATTCTTATAATTCTTACTCTCAGAGAGATTAACAGTAAAGTTAATTACTATATCTTATCAGATTCTATTAGAGATATTAAGTGATTTCAGTAGATCTTTTCTACAGTTCTTTTATAAGATGATAGAAGAATAAGAATTATATTTTCAGATAAAGCATCTGATACTGTTTAATATCTCAGATCAGTAGAATTCTTGAGAGTTCATTCAGTACAGTTGTTCATAACTCAGATAATCAGTTATATATGAATTATGCATCTCTTGTATTATCTGAGTGTATAAGAGTTCAGAGTGAGAAACTCAGCATTATTCACAGAATTACAGAGTATTATTATCATTGATTGAGTATTCTGAGATGTCAGTTCTTATACATAGTTCTGAGAGAAATCAGAGTGCTTCTTAACATACTGCTTCAGTAAGTACTTAGAGAAGTTTATCAGTTTAAGCTGTTATATATCACAATTCATTCAGTGTAGATTCAGAAGAAGTTAAGATATCAGTAATAGTTCAGAGAGAAGATATTCTAATTAGAGAAGTGTGTATAGTATTATGAATTGTTTTATCTTAATTAACTAATATCTTCTGATTTAAGAGTCAGTGTTCTCAGTTTATTCAGTAAGTATCTATTACATTAGATAATATATCTTTCTCTTATTATAAAAGAGTATCTGTTATCAAGTTCTGACTGTC